GGGAAATATTTACATGACACCTTATTCGGTCGATTCGCGAAGGATAGCTCTTTTCGATCTTGAGGTAGACGGGTGGATAAAACTATAAAGGGAAAATTTCCAAAAAAAAATGTTAGATTACCTAGTGAGAATTTTCAAATGTCTCCAAGAGTTTCACGAATCTTCTACGAAGTTCAGGTCCCGGCGGCCTTTTCGGGCTCAAAAAGGGCGCTTTCTGCCAGTCTGTAACAGATAACAAACAAGTAAGAGGAGTAGTGAATAGCGCGGCACATAAAATATTGCGAAAGCAATGCTAACGTCTTGACACTCGGCAATCAGATATTAAACCGTAATTAATACTCAATAATTCAATTTCAATAATACCTAGATAGCGTAATTATTTAAATAAAACACTTTGGAGTCTATAAACTGTTCCTGCCAGAGCCTACCATGCAAAAATAGCTGGACAGTTTGCGTCTCATGCTGAGAACTTGTCAGTCGTTTTGAGAATCAAAAAAATGTTGGTAAATCAGATTTCATTTGTTTTTAAACCAAATTTTTTATAAATATTATAAAGTATTTAAAGAGTAATGAGAGTTACTGTAAAGAAATTAGTGGTAAAAATGATGCCTAATTTTAAAGATCTAGGTTTTCTATTATGTCCTTGTATATGCCTCAAAATTTTTACTTACTTTTACAAAACTGCCGTCCTAATCAAAAAGGCAATATCTCCAATTTTTACTCCTGTTGGTTTTCATCTTTCTATGGGATTCTTACACTATATTTTACATTATATCAAGCCACAAGGCAGTTAAAAATTTTGAGAATCCATAAACATTTTCATGGTGGCTCAGCTCCGTGTACGCTAAAATCTCCATTTATCCTGTAAACGAGATTTTTTGGTTACTAGTTCAAAAGTTACAGCCCTCTGAATTTTCTTTCGAAATTGGTTTCTAGTCTATAACTTTTGATTGAGAATTCTGATCGAAAAAGTACGAATTGTTTTGGATTCTACGCACTAAAATTAATAAGAAAAAGTGTTTTCCCGAGAAATTTTGGTGCAGTCGATTTTTGCTAAAAAAGGAAGTTTATACACTGCCTTTTTTGAGGCCCTCAAAAAAAATTATCTCAAATCGACCCGGAAAAAAAATTTTCTTATAGAATGTGGCCTGTAGAATCCATAATTTCAAGCAGTTCCAAGATTGGGCTACTAGTTCAAAAGTTACAGCCCTTTGAATTTTCTTTCGAAATTCGTTTCTAGTCCATAACTTTTGATTGAGAAGTCTGATCGATAAAGAACGAATTGTTTTGGATTCTACGCACCAAAATTCTTTCTTAGGACGGCAGAAAATTCTTTCGCATTTCCTCGTCTCCCAAAGTTCCATCCTCTTCTCCCAAAATGTTCCCCATAATTTCTTGTAATTCACCCAAAGGTCCTTATGTGAGGTAAAATTTGTCACTTATTTGTCAGCACGGAAAGAATTAAAAAAATACGTAATTTGAGAACGGGTTGATTTTTAATGAACATTTACTTTTATGAAATTTCAGGAGAATTGGGTGACAAATGAACAATGCAAGTTAGCCCATGCGTAATAATTTATTGCATTTTTTATGTACATTTAATTTATTATTTTAGGAAGCACATTCTCTTAAAATTTCAGAATAAAAGCGCTCATAAATAAGAAAGTTGTCTGTGCATTTTTTTTTCAAAAACTGCACATAATAAATAATGACCCAAAGGGTTAATGGTGGTTTCCACAAGAGCCAATTTTATTTTTCTCTACCAATGCATTTAACCGTTTCCTCAATCAAATTTTGGTTTTCTTTGATCGAAAACGATCGCAAAACTAAGGAAAGTTTCATATTTAAATTTTGCTTATCAAAAATCAAAATGCAACAAAATTTATAAGCATAATAAAAGGAAAAAGTGTAAAATTATGAGAAGTGATGACAGATTTTTTGCGATAATTGTCTATTTGTCTTTGTAAGAGACTTTTAGACACTGCGGCCCTTTTTTAGGTTGAATATTTTGATAATTTTTTTAACTCTAACAAGCACACAACCAAAAATAATAAATCCAGTGAATTTTACAATAATAATTAATTTTTTACTGTATTTCGCGTCCTCTTCACACACCTTCTGCGACCCCCCAGGGAAGTCGCGACCTACCGGTTGAGAACCACTATCTGTGTAAAAACTTGTAAAATTATGGTACATAATCAAATTGATTTTTACTAAACTTTTTCCTAGACTTTCTGAGTAGTAAACTCAGAAAAAATTCCTTCCTTTGGTCAAGCCTCGGCACCACAACCAACCAAATAGCGCAAAAAGTAGAACAATAGATCTTAAGATAAACATCTAGTAACGATACAGCCAGGACAAACAGACCAACGGGCAGACGGGCGGGCGAAAAAAATAATGTCTCGAGAACCGGGGGGCCATATTCGGTCAATCGGTGAGGCACGTCGGTCCGGTAGTTTTCGAGTAATTGCAAAAAAAACATTTATAGCCGATAAATCGCGTTTCTCCCTCCACAGGGCACATTTCTCGATCGATTCGAATCGACCGTGCGTCATTCTTTGGCAAATGTATTCCGATTGGTGCCGTTTGTCGATAGTAGTGAGTAGTTTTTTTGAAAAAAAGAGAAGTGATTTTTTTCGAGAAAAATTAATATCTACGTAACCTGTGAAAGTACGGGACCCTTAAAATATTTAAGGCGCTGCAAAAAATGCTACCCCATCAAGAAATGAACAACGAACATTCGTTAAATTCAACTGTTAAATTCGGACATCTTATGATCAAAATTCCAACTGTTGGGCATGGATACAGGGTCGCTGATAAGATTATCGGCAAAAATATATCGAAATATGTCAAAAGTTTTGGAGTTCTTCAATGTCTACTAGACAGTAATAATTTTAATTATACAGGGTTGCTCATAAGGCGCACCAAAATTTAATAAATTTCTGCCTACTTTAGGTTTGCGAAATTTTTTAAGTCATTCATACCTCGCACTCTTATATTGCGGGGTGGTTCCTTTACGTAGTACACCGAAATTTTTGTTTGTTTGATAGGTTATGTTTAAATAATCTATAACCAACCCTTAAACAACCCTTAGTAATAAATTTCCGTCTGCTTAAAGTTAGCGAAATTTTTTAAGTTATTCATACCTGCATGTATAAAGCACTCGTTATGTTGCGGGGGTGGTTCCTTTACGTAGTACCCCGAACATTTTTGTTTCTGTGATAGATTATGTTCAAATAATCTGTAACCAACCCCTAAACAACCCTTTAATAATAAATTTCCGTCTGCTTCAAGTTTGCGAAATTTTTTAATGTAATTCATACCAGCTTGTAAAGCACTCTTATATTGCGGGGCTTGTTACTTTATGTAGTACACCGTACATTTTTGTTTGTTTGATAGGTTATGTTTAAATAATCTATAACCAACCCTTAAACAACCCTTTATTAATAAATTTCTGCCTACTTTAGGTTTGCGAAATTTTTTAAGTCATTCATACCTGCATGTAAAGCACTCTTATATTGCGGGGGTTGTTCCTTTACCTAGTACACCGAACATATTTGTTTTTTTGATAGATTATGTTTAAATAATCTGTAACCAACCCTTAAAAAACCCTTTAATAATAAATTTCCGTGTGCTTCAAGTTTGCGAAATTTTTTTAAGTCATTTATACCTGCATGTAAAGCACTCTTATATTCCGGGGGTTGTTACTTTATGTAGTACCCCGTATCCCGTACCCTGTATATTTTCTAATATTTCAATTTTTTTCTCAATGTTAAGCAAAATTTGTAATAATATATGTACCTAAGTTCAATCGTTTCCGGGTTTACAAGTATTGTCAATAAAACGCTATTATTTTAAAATTCATTAATAATTGAACAAAAAACAACCACAGAATGTTTTCAAAAGAAATTCGTAATGTCATTAAATATTGTTCTTGATTCAATACATTTTAAAGCAAACCTTTTATTTTCAAAACTCGATACCTAACTCGGAAACGATCGCATTTTGGTACACTATGCTCAAAATTGAGAAAAAAATTAAACTATCGCATAATATACAGAGTGTTTCTATTTAAAAAATGCAATATTAGTGTGCCATGCCTTTATGACTAACCTTGTATAATTAAAATTACTACTGCCTAGTGGACATTAAAGAACTTCAAATCTTTTGTATGAACCTTTTTTTGATACCTTGTATTTTTTTCCCCGATAGTCGACCGTTTCCAGAGTTATCAGCGACCGTGTATAATGCATTTCGATGTTTTTATAATGAAATTGATGCTAAGTGATATGAACATTTTTGGTCAATTGCACTTTGTTCATTTACGAACTCATCTAAAAAACCGATTGTCTTGTGCGCTCTACAAAAATTCCCAAAAACGTTTCCGCGCAGTTTTCATCACGTAACCAAACGCAATCTCGCCAGAAAAGTTACGATTTCCTGACTTGTTTATTTACGGAAATTCGATAGTTTTGTCCAAACGTGGGTCTTATCACGATCCATTATCCCAAGTACGTGTATTTTTGGCCGACTGATAGGAATTTTGACATTGTCATCCTACTTCATCGGGGTGCAGCTCGTCTAGACTTTTATTACCCCCTATTTATTCCCATTGGGTTCAGTGAAATCTTCGCGACACTAACCCACATTTCGCGGCGTGCGGTATTTACGAAACCGTTGTTATGTCATCGGGAATTAAGCGAACAATTAAAAAATGTGACAGTTTCATAATTGATTACTTAAGCGAAGGTGCAATAACTTATTACGATCACATTGATGTACCTACACCAAATTTTGATTGACATGGACGCTGCAAAAGGGGACGTCTGGTAGCTACAGTTAGTTTAATTGTTTATGGTGGTAATTTATGTAACGTGTGCGTTACCTAACGTTTTTATTGATGTTAGTTTATTGCACGCAAGGAACAAAGTCGGGTTTTCGTGGCGAACGCATACGAAGTGAAAAGTTCTTCCTGAGTTGGCGCCTAAACTACCGACACTGGTGGGTTTGCTTGGGAAAAGGTGCGCTGTTTGACTGTTTTCGAATTCGAACGTCAGTTTGAAATCGCTATTGCCAACGTAAACGTGCTACGCTGCGTCGATTGTGGACGCGAAAAGTTCGCCGATAACTAACGGGCGTTGTGATTTGGCCGCTATTTAACGTTTTTTTCATTGTAATCAGTATTTTTATTAATTTATTTTCGAATGTTAGCCTCGTAAAAACAGCAGCTGTAGTTTATAACGACGACTTCATGTGGGGGCGAGTGCACTGACCTACCAAAAAAAAGCTTTAAACCAACAGTTGTAAAAAAATATTAGATAATCACCGAGGGTGATGCGACACCTACTCGCCCCAAAAATGGAAAACACGCTTCGGTTCCACTAAAATCCTCGTGCGCCAGTTTTGTGTTTTCAGTGTGGAAAGCCCTGATGAGAAATACAGTTCCAGGATAAATGTAATCGGGGTGTTGTGATTTCTGGTGCCGTAATTCGGCTTAATGCGAACCCTGGCGGAGACTGAGAGGAGCACACTGCCAAGGGGGTGGGTTAGACAGGCCGTCATGGGGGTGCTAAGATGGAAAGAGTTACCACCTGGAAGGACAGACTATTCCAAAACAGCGACGCTGCAGGTGCTTTTTTTTTTCATTTACTTTAACCGAACTTTCACAGGACCTACTTCGAGACGTTTCGATTATTTGCAGAATTACGGAAGTCTGCTCACTTTCTAATTAGTTTGGGTAAAAAAGTTCGATACCGAACAGTTTTTTTAATCGGCCCGATCGGATTAGCGCATAATTTAAAATTAACTCGACCACTCATGGCGGAATCGAAGAAAAAATCTAAACACATGTTCGCTATCTACAAGGTTGCCTTAATTTATGTTAAATTAATCAGCGTAATCTGTTTTTTCTCCACCTATCGAACAAAAAAAACTTCTTGGTTTTCGCAGTCTTAATCCCCCGTAATAATCCCATTGACCTCCGGAGACAAGCGGACAATGTAAACGACCCATTCTCCCTTCTCCAGTGGTTCAATGCACCAAATTCCCTGAATTCTGGCGAATTTGCAAACACTTTTGGATAAATAAACGTGCGAGTCTGGACTGCGTCTGTTTGACCCAGTTCGTGTCTCATTTTTCGGCAGATAATTAAGAATTTCAGCGGCGGATTTTTGCAAACTTCCTGTGTTTGTATTACACAATTATTTCTCAAGCATATTCTAAATCGAACGCGCTTGTGCCATTTTTACAAAATCAAAGGTATCGATCAAGCACAAGAATTTAAATTTAAGGGTCTTTTTCTCTGGGAAACCGTCTTCGTAAAAGTGTTAGGAGTATTCTCCGAAAGAATTATTTTCGTAGCATCCTCAGGAAACTTTTGTGACAATCCCAATTTATAAAATCTTAAAACTTGACTCATTGAATCTATTTTTTTCCCTGCTCGAGAGACGAAATTTGATGAATCAAAAAAGGAGAAAAAGTCAAAAAATCAATGAATGTGTGGATGATTATGTTTACAGAGTCTACGATCACTGTCCCTGCAGATCTCACAATCCGGGGTTTTGAAATTAACATTTTTTTAAGGAAACTCTGTCTTACCTATTATTCTTACACGCATTGTAGAACATGAAATAATTTCACTTCCTCGATTGAGTACGAGGGGTAGATCACGAGGAAAATTCTTATCCTTCACATAGGAACTTTCGAGAAAATAGCTGGGAAATATAACGGAAATGGACGAAATTAGAAGAAATTTTCAAAGGAATGAGGAAATTGTAGGGAAATATTCGGAATTTTGAGGAAATCTAGTGGAAATTTAAGGCAATGCTAGAAATGTTGGGGAAATTAAGGGAAATGGTGGCAATTTTTAGGAAACGTAGGAAATTTTGGGCCCCTAAAATAAGTCGTGACCATCCATACAGTGGGGTCATGTAACAGTGACAGTAACCAACCTTCTTATTTTATATACCACACCCTGTATATTCAACTTTTGGATTCGTCAAAATATTCTAGACATATTTCATATACAACTATACCTTCAGCTGTTGCGGAAGTAGTGTTTTCGGATTTGTTGAAGGAATTAACTTAAAAAATTTGTTAGTGTTATATTTTTGAAAAAAGGATTTGACATACAGTCTCTGTGTACATTGAAATGTACAGGGTGTTCCATTAAAAAAAAATAAGTTTGGTCCATAACTTTTGTACCTGACCCCGTATACTTATTTTGAAAACGGCAAATTATTATAATAAATATCATAAAAAAATATTCATGTGATTCAAAACGATTCAAAAACAGATTTTTAAATCTTTTTTGAATCAATATTGAATTTTTTGAATTTGTAGTGTTATATTTTTGAAAAGATAATTTAATATACTGTCTGTATAGATTAAAATATACAGGGTGACCCATTAAAAAAAGTGAGGTTAGGTCCATAACTTTTCTGCCTGACCCCGTATACTTACTTTGAAAACGGCAAATTAGCATTATATAATTAAACTAAAGAAAATATTGGGTGATTCTGAAATTGCCAATTTTTTTGATTTTCCCCCTATCTGTTAAGCAAACGAATATTTATAATTTTTGATTTTACCATTTTAAGTTTGGCCCAAAAAGAGCAGATGACGCCTACATTACTTTTTTGATAGCACTAAAATTTAAAAATAATGTATACACCCTGTACATAAAATATGTCTAGAATGTTTTTAAATTCCGAGAAAATTTAGAGGAAATTTTAAGGAAATGTCGAGGGAAATGTATCTTCTATAGGTAGCTAACTATAGTCGCTTATAAATACAATGCTATACAGCTATAAGTAACGTTACTCATTTCCGAGTTCATTTCATATTAATTTGGAAAAATTGTGTGTAAATTTGGGAAATGTTAGGGAAATTTAGAGAAATGGTGTCAATTCTTAGGCAATAAAGGAAATCTTTATCCCCTAAAATAAGTGTTGACTAGGGAATGCAATGCCAGGATCCCGCGGGATTTGCGGGACTGAGGAATTTGTCGGCCAAGGGGCCGACTCTGAAACGATAACGGAGAAGTTATTTTTTAAATAATTGCGAGAATAATTGTTACACTTTTTTCGTTAAAAATGTACTATGATTTTTGAGGCACTTTAGAAGTTCACCTTTTTGTGCTTTACAGGTGAGGTTTTTTCGAGGGTTTTTTTGAGTTCTAAGTTAGACCGAAGGTACTTTTTTGTTAAATATGTATTGTGATAATTAGCGATTTATTTCAATACAGAAGTTAACCGCACAGAATTGCTTATTTGCCAATTTATTTAAAGTTTTGCGGGATCCCGCGGGATTTACATCTAACAATGTCGCAAATCCCGGGATTGACATTTTGCTGCGGGATTGCATTCCCTAATGTTGACCAACCCTGAGGGGTCTATCACGAGGGAAATGCGTGTCCCTCGGATAGGAAATTTCGAGGAACTATCTGGAAAATACTCGGGAAATATGTAGGAAATGGACGAAATTAGAGGAAATCGAGGAGGAAATATTGTAAGGAAATGTAGATGAAATGTTAAGGAAATAAACTGTTTCTAAAGGACTCAACGTTACTTAATTTCACGTTAATTCGGAGAAATGTTGTGTAAATTTAGGGAAATGTAAGGCAATGCTAGAAATGTTGGGGAAATTAAGGGGTTAATTTTTAGGTATTGAAGGAAATCTTTGCCCCCTAAAATAAGTTGTGACCAACCCCCAGGGGTTAATCACGAGGGAAATTCTGGTCTCTCATATAGGAAATGTCGAGGAAATACTCGAGTCTGCAAAATATGTAGGAAATGAGAGAAAATTTTGAGAAAATAGGGGTAAATTCTAAAAGAATGAGAAAATTCTGTGGAAATCTAGAGGAAATTTAAAGAAAGAAAAGGTTTCGCGTTAATCCGGATTTGGGGTAATGCTCGGGGTAATGTAGGCAACGTTAGAAATATTGGGGAAATTAAGGGGAATGGTGTTAAGTTTTAGCTATTGAAGCAAATCTTTGCCCCCTAAAATAAGCAAGGTTCGCAAATGGTCTCTTTTTTAGACATTGGTCTCTTTTTTCAATGCTGGTCTCTAAAAGTCTCTATTTTTCATATTTGGTCTTTAAAGTCTCTAAATTTTGCATGTTAAAAAAGTATAATTCATAACTGATAAACCGCAGAAATTTTACTGTACATTTTTAGCGCATTTTTTAAGAATTAAAAAAAATGCGTTTTATCCGTCCGGACCCACTTCTGCCGTTTCGAACTACTTCTAGGAGAATGGTCCTAGAGTCCTGGAATTCTTTGCAGTAGGGAGCCTATACCTTGAAGGTGTGCCAGACGGCCACCAAATTCTCTGTCTAAAACGGGGGCCCCCCCTCGAATTATTTCCTGAGATACTGTTTTTGAAAGTAAAATGTGCATAACTTTTACATACGACAACCAATTGGTCTCAACGAAAGGAACCGTGTTCTACCAACTATACTGCCCTTCTTCTGTCCTCTTATCAAAGTACGGCGAGGAGGGGCAGGGGGGGGGTGGAATTAGTTTTGTCCTTCATGGTACTCTAATGAAAGGTCTCAACGAAAGGAATTAATTTTTACCAACCATAGCCCTCCTCCTCGACCTCTTATCGCGATCGGGTATATTCCCTTATACCTCGAGAACGGATTGTCGGAAGAGGGCACTCACAAAGGGCGATTGGGACGTCTGCAAGAAATATATCCATTGGTGATGTAAAAAAAAATATTTGAGTGAAAAAAAAATGCGTTTTATCCGCACAAGAGTTGTGCACAATTTATGTTTAGATATATTGCCGTTTATGTATCTCATCTATTACAAAATAAATATTTTTTGCTTAATTTTGTATGGAAATTGGTTCTCAAAGGTCTCTAATGGTCTCTATTTTTAAATATGTAATTAGAGACAAAGTCTCTATTTTTTTGCTAAAATCAGTTGCGAACCCTGAATAAGTCGTGATCAACCCCCAGGGGATAATCACGAGGGAAATTCTGGTCTCTCATATAGGAAATGTCGAGGAAATATGTAGGAAATAAGAGAAAATTTTGGGGAAATAATTAGGGGTAAATTCTAAAGGAATGAGAAAATTCTGTGGAAATCTAGAGGAAATTTAAAGAAAGAAAATGTACCCATTTCACGTTAATCCGGAGCAATTTTGTGTAAATTTGGGGAAATGTAAGGCAATGTTAGAAACATTGGGGGAATTAAGAGTGACAATTTTTAGATAATGAAGGAAATCTTTGTCCACTAAACAGTTGTGACCAACCTCGAGACGTTTTGACCACGAGGGAAATTCTTGTCTCTCATATATGACGTTTCTAGGAAATAACTAAGAAATATGTAAGAAATGGGACGAAATTCTTTGGAGTGGAATGAGGAAATTCTAGAGAACATTCTGAGGAAATCTAGAAGAAATTTTAAGGAAATAAAACGTTTCTATAGGGAAGTAACGTTACGTAAATTCGGCGCAATTTTGTGTAAATTTAAAATTTAAGACAATGTTAGAAATGGGAAATTAAGGTGACATTTTTAGGGCATAAAGGAAATCTTTCTCCCTATAATAAGTCGTGAGTAACCCCTCGTCCATACCCAACGTCCACTAAGTCGGCGCCTCTGGCTTATTATTTCCCTGACT